CGTGAAAAACTTTCGTTGGACGAATTTTCTTGTAAACTTCATATTTACTGAGATATCGCACTTTGACGCACTAATGAGCAACCCTGTATATGCAAAATGGAAAATTTCACTTTCAAATATCTCAAGCGGTTTCAAATATATCAATTTTTTTGGTTTTTAATTAAAGTTCTTAAATCACATCTTAGTCTTTAAATAATGGCAGCAATCATCTTATAAAGTTTGTCACTTTACTCTGATCACCCTGTAAAAAGTGAAAATCGACCTAAATCTTATGAACTTATGCAAAAGCTATGTTTTTGAAAAGATACCTTTAAGCCTAATAAAATACCTAATAAAAATTCGAAAGAAAAGCCAAGAGCAGATAAACAGAAGCCATTGAAATTGAGAAAAAGTAGCAAAACACACTTTAAAATGGCAAAATCGGCAAAAAAATCCAGGAATTCTCATCAAAACCGTCCTAAAATTTCACACATTATCCGCAAAAGTTTTGCATACATCAAGGCGATAGTTTGCGGTAAAATTTAAAGCTTTTACATTTTTTTTGGATGTTTTGTAACATCCAAAAATTGCGTAAATTTGTAAAGAATGGAAGCATTTGAAGCAAATATCGACCATAAAACCAATTTGAAAACTCATTTTTTTAAGTTTTTTTTGCAATTCCCCGATATTTTTCAATTTAAAAGGGCAAAATGCGGGAGGGAAAGCAGCTGATTTGACCCAAGAGGTCCCTTGGGGTGCGGTCATCTTAATTGAACCGCCAAGGCGGCTGACCGACCAACCGCCATCCGATGGAGATGGCATGAAAAATGATCGGCCTAAAGAGAATGAAAAAGGAAAATATTAAAGATTTTCTCAATTTCCTTCCCGAAATTATACTTCAGTGAAAGCAATTTGCCGTCAGCTCGTTCGGTCAGTTATGTGTGCTGGCTTCTGAAGCCCATAAGAGCGCAGAGGTGAACTCAGCCCATCCGTCTTCTGGGTGAGGTTTAAGATTTACCTTCTATTTCACTTGAATTGATCGATATTGTATTAATTACACTGATTCAGAATTGAGAATAATGAGAATTGAACAGGACACCGTTTCCTGTTCTGCGGAACATCGCAGGTTCAAGCAGGAAACGCGATATGAAAAGTCTTTCGACGCGAAAAACCGCCCAAGGGCAGGATTATTAAAGCAGTTTTACAGCTCCTAAATTAAACTCGTAAATTCGCCAGTCAATTTAGGAAAGTAAATTTAACCTGTCACGAATGGTGAAATTATTTCAATTAGTGCCAGAAAGTGCAGTCTGGTATATGCAGCTCACTAATTAAACTTAAGGCCGAAATAAATGTCAACTATTTAACGACTGTACACAATTAAAATTGCAGGAGGAGGCAAAATGAAAAGTTTTCTAATGAAAAAGTTGTTGCATAGAGCGAATGGGTCAGTGGAGGTTCAACTTTTAGTTCGTTGCATTGGCCCTTGGCTAGTCCAACATCCACCTGCTCACCATCCCTTAATTTCGATTCAGTTTTTCCAAATTAACTGTTGTATTTGCACATTTTGTCTATTGATTGTAGTTTCCCATGCAGCATGTAGACGCGTAATTATATCGATACAAAGTTCTGTACGTCTAAAGATCACTCCTTGACTATGTTGTGCAGTATTAAATTGCGACAAATATAAACAATTTAATGGATTATTCAGGCTGGAAGCAAAAGTAGGGATATTTTCAGTGAACTTGAGATTCCCAAAAACCCGTCCCAAAATAGATTTGCCTTGTTTGAACCACAGTGATCCAGTAGAACTTAATTGGAGTACTCATATGCTTCCGGTAACAATTTGGCTTGTTTCTACAAAACTTTGCCTTAAACGAACATTTTTTTTTCAATAGTTTGTCCTCAAAGCTTCTGCAATTATTCCCGGTCACCTCTGTAGATTTTATATAAGATTTCGTAAAAGCTGCCTGAATAGATAGCAACAGAAAAAAACAATCTTTTTTGAGCGAATATCTATATAGCGGTTATCTATTAACCCAAGCACCTGAACAAGACATTTTCTAACTAGAATGATAGTCAGCAACAAACTAAAACATCAATTATATAACAATGTTAATAATAAGTCGAGCAGCAAACTAGAAATAAAACATAATAAAAAACTAATATTTTAATGAAGATAAGTTAGAGTGAATAACGATCAACGAATCACCGATGGAAAATGGAAATAGTAGGAATAAACTATGGAAAATTACAAAGGTGGAAAAATAGATTAAAAAACTCTGAAGCTTATTCAAGGTAAAATCAACAACGACTTGAAATATGTATGTTTAATGAAGATAACACAAGCAAGAAAATCTGAAAATTTATTTTGCTTGTAAGTCGCAGAGTTTATTGTGAAAAGCTTCTAAACTGCCAAGACCGAAATGCTATAAATTTTAAAAAATATGCGTATTTTTTTGTTTACATCAGAAAATAAAAATATGGAAAATAAGAAAAAATTAACGAAAAAATTGATGAATATGAAAAATTATTTTATCAAACATATTGAGTTTTGGAGATAAATTTCCTCAACGAACTTTCATCTTTTCCTTCAATATTTTTGCCATAAAGTTTCTACAATTATTTCCGGGCACTTTGTAGAATTTAGATACGAATATTAGTAAGAAAGCGCGCAGCAATCTGGAAATCATAAATATAATTTAACGTAATTTTAATGGAAGTAAGTGAGAGTGAATAATGAATTGTTAGAAATAAATATCTCTTGTTCGTTTATACCGTATTCGAGGTAAAATCGACAAGACAACATAAGGAACAAAAAATCCAACAAACCAACTAATTGTCCCATAAGTCTCACAATTTATTGTGAAAATCTTGTTATATTTTTTATATTGGACAAATCCTTTGATTACATCTCAGGTAGGAGGAGAAACAAGCAGAAAACGAACCTTATAAGAAGAAAACATTATTTTTCTTTATCTAAGTAATGCTTTAATATATTTTCGGCATCTGCAAAACAAGTAAAGTAACTCACTTTTCCCGACACAATTTCAAAAACCAAAATCGAGTTTAAATCATGAAAACTTTTGCCTAAATTTCTGGTGATTTTTAAAAAGGAATGTTGACTTTTGCCATAATGAAATATTTAAAAAATTCAACCACTTAATAAACAAAAAATCTCCCCCAGAACAGTCGAGTTCTTACTTATAATTCTTAAGACTTAGTTGGAAATTTTCATAGTATTCAGGAGTCTAAAATAGGAGGTCCGATTCAGGATCTTTATAGAGTTTAATTAGCTTGTTTATGTTCCAATTGTGCAAAATTGTTAAAAGGATGCAAAAATTTACTCTAAAACCAGTTAAAAGCGACAAAAGTGGAATAACTAGAAGGACTAAAGAGCGAAAAATTAATGGGAATTAGAGTGATGAGGGAAGTGAAGCAATGCAGCTGTTTGAACGACCAGATTTTTAGGCATTTGACTCGTTTTATCAATCATGTTGAGTTTTGAATCTAAATTGACTCAACTCCAAACAGATACCGGCGATTCCAGATAAACTGCTTAAGCCATGAACATTGAAACAAACAAGCACAAATTCCTCATTGCTCTTTGAAAAATGCACTTCAATCGAACGTCTTCCATCAACATAGAAAATTGTTTGGCAATTTGCCATCGAATCAGAAAGATGGATTTTAAAACATTAAACGCAAATCTTCAATTTGCATCTATAAGCACTTCTGTGTCCCCGAGTTGCTTGAGGAAAATAAAAAAACTCTGCTCCTTCATCCGTCTGAAATATTTTCGGTCGCAAAATGTGCAAACATTGCAAAAAACAACTTGAACCAAATGCGATTTTTTGGGAAACCACTGAGTAGTTTATGAGCATTAAAATGAGGCAAAGTCTTACCAGGTAGCAGTTAGTCACAAGTAGGCACTAAGTTGGCCTTAAGACAAGCGCAACACAATCCACGTAAACACGTCGGATGTAGAGTATGCTTAGGCGGATCTACAGAAGGCGTCTTTGGAGGAGTCTACGGACAAACTGACGCGCGAATGCCCTTTTGGCAAAAATGACACTAAAACACCGTGGCGGCGTGGCGCATGTTTGGCGTCTCGACGCACAGTGGAGGCAAACTTGAACCCTTAAAGATCTCATGAATTGCAGTAGAGCTTAAAGAAAATCCTGGAACTTGTTGTTGGAGTGTTAATTTATTCCCAGTACTTTAATTCGAAAGTCTTTCAAAATATGGTGGAATTACCGCAAAAGTTTTAAGCAATCTTGGATGCTGTTGAGGGAAATTTGTCCAGCTTTCCCGGGGTAGTTTTCCTCTGTATTTCGCCACGCTCGCCGTCGCGAGTCACTCGATCTCTCGCCCGAAGGCATAGGTAGCTCATGCAAAATCTTATTATCGTCTATTTAATATTATCAAAAGCGGATGCCAGTTTGCGGTGTTTATTTTAAATTTCAGTCGTTTCCTGCTTCACTTCTCCTTTCGTTTGCCGCGCTCTTGTTTAGTCTGCTAATTTACGACTTCATTTTTCTATACAATGTCGACGAATTGTCATGCTAATGCGACGATTTTATGAGAAAACCACCGAAAGAAAATTTATAACAGGTTTTAACAACAGGAAATTGTATGGGTTTTATGCAAAACACTTTTATTGATAAGCGTACATGAAATGTATTTTTTTAGGGATTTCCTTGGATCAATTAAGTTAATTAACTTTGCTAATGCATTCTAGGACAAAAAATTGCCGTGCGGGAAAAACGATTGGTCTAATTAATGTAATGAGTTTTACTAATTAATTAAATATTGTTTGAACATGCTTCATCTTCATGATCTTTCACTAATTCGCTGACATGGAAGATAAGCAAGATATCAAAGCCAACATTTGTTTCCTAGCGTATTGTGAAGTCTTTGGGAGAATTACCCAAAGACTTCACAATACGCGAGTCTTTGGGTAATTCTATTCAAATAAATTATGAAAAATCGCAGTTTTTTCCTTTTTCTACTGCGAATGGTTGCTTGTCCTATAAATAAGGTTTCTGCTACTGGTGAATTATATGAATGTATTGATGTGGATGTTTTCGGCGAATCCTGATTAGTGTGAATGATTCGCGTGTGAATGGTTCTCTAACTAAATATTTGATTCTTTTCCTTAGAATTATTATAATTATTCTAAAGCGGCAATCGTGTATATCAGTGACGTACCGAAAGGTTTACTATAACTTTACCAAAAACACATTCAGAGTCTAGAACTTGGAAAACTGAAAATTGCATTTATACACACTTCTCGAACTTATTTATTTAGCATCTAATAACTATAAAATGAAAAAAGGAAACTGCAGAATATACATATACAGGGAGAATATATACAGGAAAAATATACAGGGATAATCATATATAGGGAGAATCCGAAAATTTATTCAACAACAGTAAAGGAGCTTTTGCAAGTCTTGAAATGTCCATAATCCTTTATTGCAGCATTCTTTCTAAGCTTTCCTTCTAATCGAGCAAAAGGTTTATATATTTTAAATAAATTTTGTATGTGTGTACAGTTGAGTCCGGATATAACGAACTTGAAAAATGAACTAAAACTGGTTCGTTATATCCGGAGTTCGCTATAAGCGAATAATAATACAAAAACAGGTGGTGTATTTTATTTCGTTATTTTTACATAGAGTAGTAGAAGTTAGTAGGTATGACTAAAAAGAACACAAAAAGATAAATAAAATTCAATTTGAAATCAACTTCATAAAGTCTGTAATTTTTGTTTGTACATTTCTGCTTCAAAAAGAGATGTTATTTATGTAGTTTTCAAGATCACAAAAGAACTTCCAGATATGATTAGGAACTTGGCGTGATTGTAGAAAATTCCGAGTTTTCTGACACTTTTTTTTGTCATTTCAGAAATGGTTGGAACAGCATTAGTGTATACAGTAGAGTACGTTTCACCTAAATCGTCATCTTTCTCTTCGCTTAAAGCTGTAGATGAGGTTACGGAGTTTATAATTTGCTCATCGGTCAACATTTCTCTTGTAAGAATGCCATTATCAATGCTCACATATTCGAAGAAATTGAAATCACTCAA